ATGGGGATAAAATAGCCCATACCTTGCTATGAGTTACTATGTGTAAAGTGCTTCAGACGGCACCAATAGCATTGTTCACTACTGTTAGTATTCTCCGAGTAGCGGGGAGCCAGTGATGGTTCTAGCAGTTGGGCAGCAGCAGCCTCTGGGTTGGAGGACAAAGAGGAGAGGCTGGGCCCCCACGTCTGGCCAGGCCTGGAAGGGTCCGCTGGGGGTGTCTGTGACTGCCCCCCCACATGAGGCCGCCCCATGGGCTGGCCCCAGCCCCTGCAGATGTGGCATCGGAACCAGCTGTGCTAGCCAGCTGTTCCTCGTTTACCCCCAGATGTGCGTCACCGGCTTCGGCTGCCCTGGCCTCCCCGTCCCCACCGTGGGGTGGGGCTGGGCCCTGGGGCCCTCTGAGGGGGGGACACATATTTGTGGGCTGTGGAATTTGGTTCTTGTTTTGCAGAACCACTGAGTCTGGCCTGGAGAGAGGCCCAGGGTCTGGTCCTCCTGGTGCCTCAGTTTCCCCACCTGTGGGACCCCAGGGGACCCCCAGGGGCCACCTGGGGGGGGACGAGGATGAGCAGGGCTGCCCCAGGAACAGGCCCACTGCCAGCCCAGAGTTGTCAGCACCAATGGGGGAAACGGAGGCACAGGTGTGCAGGACTGCGGTGAATTAAATGGCCTTCCAAAGAGGGAGGGTGCCCAGATGGGGAAACTGAGACTCAGAGAGGCTCAGAGAGGCTCAGAGAGGGGGAGGAGGTGCCCCAGGTCGCCCAGCCAGGCAGAGGCAGAGCAGGGACCTGAAGTGAGTGGCCTGGAACCCACATGCTGTGCATTCACAGATACACGCCCTTTCTCACACGCTCGCCCACACGTGCCGGCCGCCCGCACGTCTGCCCACGTGGCTCTGCCCCTGGCTCGCCCGCAGCCCAAAAGCCGCCCAGTCAAGTTCCTCTGGGTCCTCCCTGGCGTTCCCACAGTGCCGGGCGGCCTCCTTCAGGCGCTTTCTGAAGATGGGGAAACCGAGGCAGAGGAGGACCAGCGCCGTGTCCAGGAGTGAGGTGGAGAGGAAGGAGAAGGGTGTGGGTGGAGGGAGGCACCACCCGGGCAGAAGCGTGGAGACGGGAGATGCGGTCAGCTCATGCCTCTGAGAACAGAATTCTGGAATTCCCTTCAGAAACCGCCAGTCCAGCAAAGACAGATGTGGACACAGACACCACGCCGGCAGGGCTGGGCAAGAGAGTGGGACGCACAGCTGGGGGCCCAAGATGGGGAGCAGGAAGGCTTCCCGGAGGAGGGGCTGTAGGAGCTGGGGCTTTGAAGGGTGAATAGGAGTTTGCCTAGTGGGGAAAGGCCCTGATTGCAGGCCTCCCCCAGACTAGAGAGATGAGTGGATGGAGGGAGGGGTCCCCTCTCGTCCTCCTTTTCCTTGGGAACGAGCATGAAGGAGGTGCCTCCCTGAGGCAGGGATCTCAGCAGGTTCCCCTGGGAATAGGGGCCTGGTGGGTGTCCCCTGAGCAGCTTGGTGGAAAGGTGGAGCCCCAGGGTGTTGCCTGGGCACCAGGATAATAAGCATGGTTTCCCGGCAGCACCAAAGAAGCTGCCAGAAATGCCCGCACACCTTCGCCCTGGCTGTCTGTTCCTTGGGTGATTGGGGGGCGGTCCCCCTGGGTCATTCTGCCGCCTCCACTTCCACACGCCTCCCTCACAGCCACCACCGTGTCTGTGCTGCTCGCTCTTCCCCGGAATCTCGCAGCCGAGGGCCCAGCAGCACTGGTGTCGTGTTCCCGCGTGGCCGCGTGTGTGCGCGTGTGGTGGGGTCACGGGGACAGGCCTGCAGCAGGCACAGCTCGGCCCTGGCCGGACGCTAACGATGCTGGACGCCTCTGTGCACACAGGTCCACCCGCTCACAGGAGGGCTCAGAGGCTGCGTGTGTGTGTGTGTGCGTGTGTGTGTCTGTGCCCATCCACTGTCGGTGTGAGAGACAGTGTGTCTGTGAGAGTGTGAAAATGCTGGAGTGTGCGAGTGTGGGGGTATCGAGGGCGTGTGGGAGCTCCCGAGTGTGTGAGAGACCTGAGTGGGTGTGAGTGTGCAAGCACGGAAGTGTGCACATGAGAGGGAGCCCGGCCTATCACGTGTGAGTGGGGAGACATGCCATGTGAGCGTGTGCAAGGGTGAAAACACACTCGTGTGTGGTCGTGGTAGCATCCAAGTGTGCAAGTGTTGAGTGTAAAAATGCCCTAGTGTGATAGTGTGAAAACACACCAGCGTGTGAATGCTGGACTGAGTGTGCAAGTGTGATAATGCACGAATGTTTACATGCCCTAGTGCGAGAGTGTGCAAGTGTGTGAGTGTGATAGCCTTTGAGTGTGCAAGTGTGAGTGCAATAGTGTTTGAGGATGTGAGTGTGAAACATTTGAGTGTGATGTTTGCGTGTGAAAACACCCTCATGCGTGAGTGTGATAGTGTTAAAATGTCCTAGTGCATGATTGTGTGCGTGAAAACACGAGTGTGCATGTGCAGTCATGTCTGTGTGTGAAAGCAGAGTGTGTAAATGGGTAGTGTTTGAGTGTGCGAATGTGTGAGTGGGTTAGTCTCCGAGTGTGTGCGTGCGAGTGGGCGTGCATGAGAGAGAGCACACGAGCGTGTGTGCGAGAACACAAGAAGCTGGGTGTGGGTGAGTGTGAGCCCCGAGCGTGCCGAGTGAGGGAGCCCACTCCCCAGGTCTAGGGGCCTCCGTGACACAAGCGTGTCCCTCGTGCACACCTGGCCCCCTCCCTCATGCCCCCCTGCACACCCTCGTCCCCCTCCCGCTCTGCGCAGGGCCGGGGACAAACCAGTCGGGTGACCCCCGCACAGAAAGGCCCTTTGTTAGCGGCCGCTTATCAGCCGGCCGGGCCCCTCCACCCCTGTCCCCATCAGAGCCCCGGGGGGTCTGCGGCTCCAAGGCCACCCCGGGCCCCCGTGGCCAGCCCATCCCAGGACGGTGTCCCATCCCCCTTCCCAGCCCGTTAAGCCCGTAGCAGAGACAGAGGACCAGAGCCTGGCACCCTGCAGGGGTTTTGTGCCGGCCTGCCAGGGAAACTGAGGCACTCTGCTCCAAGACGGGTGTGAGGGCAGGCAGGGTGCTGGGGGTCCAGAGAGGGCCTTGCCCACCCGAGGTCTTGGGCCCGGCTGGGTTTCCCTGCCCGTCTCCCTCTCCCAGGGGTGTGAGGCCACTGGAGTTCCAATCTCAGCTCTGTGACCTCGGGCAAGTCACTTCGCCCCTCTGGATCTCAGTTTCCCCATCTGTCAAATGGGGGTAAGGACTCTCGTGAAGCTGAAATGACCTACTACACGTTACATTTGTGGAACGGGATCCGGCATAAACTTGTTAACAATAAAGGTGGTGGGTTTTGGCACCTGACAAAATGAAATATTGTCCCTGTGGGCAGAGGCCCCTCCCTGCCCTCCCTCCTCCCTCTCTCCCCCTCACTCCCTCTGCTCCAACCACACGGTCTCTTCGCTGTTCCTCCAACACGCCAGGCCTGGTCCTGCCCCAGGGCCTTTGCACCTGCTGTGCCCTTAGTTTGCACGCCTGCATGTGGGGAAGCACATTCTCTACCAACACCACCCACAGTAATAAAAATGGTGGCATCAGATACCACCAGCAGTGGCAAGTCCTCGGGGTGACGCCCCAGCATTTGCTCCCAGGCACAGCCCAGCCCTTGGAGTGCCAGTCGTGTCAGAGAAGCCAAGTTCTAACCCCAGGTCCTTTTCTAGCTGAGCGCCCTTGGACACGTCCCTCCCTGGCTGTTTTGTGCCTCAGTTTCCCCAGCTGTAAAATGGACATGACAGCGCCTCTCTCGTGGGCTCGGCACTGGGCGCAGTACACAGCAGGCGCCTAATAACTGTCCGCTGTCACTTGCTGCCCGGCGGCTGTAGGTCCTGTGCGCGCGCATCCACCCGGCAGGAGACAGGCGGGTCCACCCGCGGCTCGGCCCATGCAAACTACATGCAAATGAATGTAAATCGCATGCAAATGACCGCGCGGCCCGGGACGCGCGCGTGGGGGCGCCCGGCACCCCGGCCGTGCCCGCGTGCAGCCGCCCGGGTCCCGTGTCAATGTTTACACCGGGCCCGCCGCCAGGCCCCGCGCCGGCCGACACCAGGCGGCCGGGCGGGGGAATGTAAACGCGGGCTGGGGGCCACTCAGCGGCGGGGAGCTGCTCGGAGCAGATCGAGGGGCGCAGGTGTTCCGGGGGTGTGCGGGGGTTATTGCACACCTACTGTGTGCACGGAGCACGGCGCTCCCAGGCAGGCACAGCTCTGAGTCATCAGTGTCCCAGTGGGGGACGCTCAGGGCATTGTGCTGGCCTGGCGAGGGGTGGGGGAGGAGGGCAGTCAGGGAAGGCTTCCCGGTGGAGGCGCCGTCCAAGCTGAGACTGAAAGGGAGTGGGAAGGGAGAGGAGGAGAGAGCCTTCTGGGTTGGAGGTGGGTCGAGCGCGGCTTTGATCTCTGGCTCCCCACTTCTGGGAATCGGTTTATCTGTCTGGAGGGCAAACCCCTCCAGAAAGCAGCAGGAAGTCACTCCCAAGGAGTCACTCCCATCCATATGTAGGGAACAAAGTCTCAACTCCGGGGGTTCCTGCGTCTCCAGCCACCCTTGTCCCACAGTGCCCCCTGCTGGGGATGCCCTCACCTCCTTCCACTGTTCCCCCAAGCTCGCTGGGCTCCAGCCACCCCAGCCTCTTGGCTGCATCAGCCAAGCGTGGTCTGGCCTCAGGACCTTTCCACTGCCTGTTCCCCCTGCCTGAGATGCCCTTCTCTCCTACCTGGCCAACTCCCACCTTTGTTCGGGTCTTGGCTTTCCTCCATCCTCAGGAAAGCACTCTGAGACCCCCAGATGGGGGTGGGGTCTCCCAGCTCCCCCTGGCACAGTCTCCACCCCTTCCTTGGCAGCGTTTTTAACACCCTTGTTCAGTGGTTCCTTGATGGATCATTTCTGTGTTATTATTGACCCTTAAGCAGGAGCGGTTCAAAATCAGGGGCCCCGCAGCGCCCCCCGTGCCGGGCCCGGCGCCCCATGCCCGTTGCTTGCCTGACGCCCAGACGGAGGCCGTGTGGCTGACCATCCGGCGCGCGCAGGCCGAGGATGCAGCGCTGGAAGGCGGCGGCCCTGGCCTCGGTGCTCTGCAGCTCGGTGCTCTCCATCTGGCTGTGTCGGGACGGCCTGCTCCTCAGCCACCGCCTGGGACCCGCGCTGGCCCCGCTGCGCCGGCTGCCTCGCACCCTGGACGCCCGCATCGCCCGCCTGGCCCAGTGTAAGCCCTTCCGTTTGTCTTGGGTCTGATCCCCGCGACTTCGGGGCGACCGTAATGGTGGAATTTCACTCACTAGATCGGGGCGCAGAGACTTATTTTAGATAGGGTAGGGGGAGGGTGCAAATCCCCCACGGCCTCCAGGGGTGGCTGGGGGGGCCGCTGGGAACTGGGGTCTCTCGGCTCAGCTGTCACAAAGAATTAGGCTCTGGCCCTGAGGGGCCAGGGGGCCAGATGGAGATTAGACCTGGGCATCCGGCCCGGGAGGCCCCGCAGCGCAGCGGGGGGTGGGGAGAGAGGGAGGCTGGAGTCGGCCCCAGTGACCTGCTGGGTGGATGGGAACCAAGAGGAAAGGGAGACAGAGAGCCCTAGAAACCTAGGTCCTCGAAATGGAGAAAGAAACAGATAGAGAGGCCCAGAGACACGTGGGAAAAGGCGGGGAGGTGGAGAAGTGGAAACGCCCACCCAGGGGGCGTGGCCGCCTTAGCCCAACTCCCCACTCGCCCCTGGCGCCTGCCCTCTGCTGGTTCCATGGGGCGAGGGCAGTGCGTGGCCCCCGATCTCGTGCGCGCGCACGTCTCCATGGCTGGCGTCGTGGCGCCCGCGGGTGGGGGCTGCGTGCACGCTGGTGTGCACGTCCGCACACGCCCCGTCGACCCACACAATCCTCCTTTCTTGTCTCCACAATGGACAAGGGTGGGCTCCACTTCCGTCGCCGCTGCTTCCCCCCTGCAGGCGGCAAAGCCCTTCCCAGGACACTGGGTCCCGGAGACGGGGTGGAGCCCCCAAAAGCTAGCGCTACAGGACCTGGGGGCAGGCAAAGCCCCAGGGCTGGAATTTCAAACACCCGGGAGGGGCTCGGCCCCTGGGCGGGTGCCTGCCTGCCTCGCATCCTGTCTTCGGGGCCCAGCCCTACTGGGGAAGGGAGTGGCTGCTGATCCCCAAAAGCCCCAATGTTCTAGGCCCTGGGACTACGGCGCCGATGGTGGAATTTCAGGCTGGGGGGCGGGGTGCGGATCCCATCTTTGTGTTCCAGACCCTGTGCACGTGGCCAGGCCTGCTGGAGGAAGGCAGAGACAGACTAAAGGATTACTCCTTGTTTATCTGAAATGCAAATTTAACCAGGCATCTGTATTTTATCTGGCAACCCCTCCGAATGACTGTAGAAACACACCTTTGGGGCGGGCATGCTAAATCGCGGAATTTTGGACACCAGAGGTGAGCCGGGCTCGAACCTAGCCCCAGAGCAGCCCGCGCTGGCGACCCTAGTCCCGCCCCTGAGCGTCTAGGACTCGGAACATGCTGTTCCGTCGCCCCCCACTTTCCACCCTCGCAGCCCGAGCCAAAGCGGAGGGCTCTGCAAGCCTCATTGAGCAAACGGGGAAACTGAGGCACAGGGCAGGACCATCGCTTGCCTGAAGATGTACAGGCAAGAGCAAGGCTCAGACCTGGGTTTGTCTGCTTTCTGAGACCCACCCCCCTCCCCTTGACAGCCAGGTGCGCCAGCCTTGGGGGCAGGCGGGGGCTCAACTCAGGATTTCCTCTCAGCCACAAGGGTGACCAGCTCAGGGGCTGGCAGCCCCCTGCCTGGGCTTCCACTCTCAGCGCTGCCCGCCATGCCAGCCTCTGCACTTTTCTCCTGGGGCTGCGGGGTCCTGGGGCAGGGCCAGCCGCTTGGGAAATAAATTTAGGCTGCGGGGCCTGGGAACCTGTGACTCGGGCATCTCCCGGCAACAGTGGGAGAAGAGGGCTGGACGCGGGCCAGACTTGACCTTCTGGATCAAGCCCTCTTTCCTCACCTGTAACACAGAGGTGGCCCTGACAGAGCTGCTGCCACCCCCTGTTGGGGGCGGGGGTCCCCACACAGGCCTCAGTGCCCGCTGTTCCTCTGTGCGTTCTCAGAAGCCCAAACACTCCCGTTGGTTTTGTGGCTGGGGAAACTGAGTCCCGCTGTCCGGTGGAGCAGCAGGGACAGGGTGGGGGGTTGTGAACAGCCCAGCGGCTCAGAGAAGATGTGGGGGCTATGGGTGGGGACCCCAGAGAGTGAGCTAGAGACCCATGACAGGTTGGGCTGTGGGAAGCAGCTCCCCAACACTGCTCAGAGAGGGTGTGCCAGTGCCCTGGGGCAGCCCAGCCTAGGGAGGGGGGCCACAGAGTGTTGGGGGGAGCGCCCAGAGGGAGGGTGCTCAGATCAAGGTGGAAAGACCAAGGCTGGAAAGGGGTCCAGGGCACCCAGAAAGGGTGAGCAGGTTCTGAGCAGCCCAACATAGCAGCAGGGTCCAGAGAGGGGTGTTGGTAGCCCTGGGGGGCCCAGCGGGGGCTTCTGGATATGCACCCCCCATTCCGCCCAGAGAGGGTGGTGCATGGGCGGGAATCGGGGAGTGAGATGAGCAGCGGGAGGAGAGGGTGGCGTCTGCTTTTTGCAAGGGGACAGCGAGGGTAGGGGCTCCCCCCCACCCGCTGACCCCACCCCCTTCTCTCCCTCCCCTCGCAGACCGTGCACTGCTGCAGGGCGCCCCGGACGCGGTGGAGCTGCGCGAGCTGACGCCCTGGGCCGGCCGACCCCCGGGTCCGCGCCGTCGGGCGGGGCC